CAGTGTTTTAAATTTTAGATTTTTCGATTTTTTAGTTCAATATTTTTTAATTTTTCAAGTTTTGACATTTCTCAATTTTCAGTTTTCTGATTTCCCAATTAATCCATTTTTTATTTTCCCATTTCTCGACTTCCCAAAGTTTCGATTTTTCAGTTCTTCATTTCTGCAATTTTTCGATTCTTCGGGTTTTTGGTTTTTCAATTTTTCGATTTTTTAAGTTTTTAATTTTCCAATTTTTGAGTATTTCGTTCAATTTTGTGGTTTTTCAGTTCAATTTTTCAATATTTCAGTTTTGGGATTTTTTAGTATTTCGACTTTGCGATTTTTTAAGCTGTGGATTTTCAATTTTTAGTTTTAAGTTTTAGATTTTTCGATTTTTCAGTTCAATATTTTTTAATTTTTTAATGTTTTAAATTGTAGATTTTTCGATTTTTCGATTTTTTAGTCCTTCAATATTTTTAATTTTTCAAATTTTGACGTTTCAGTTTTCCGATTTCTCAATTAATGAATTTTTTTATTTTCAGATTTCTCGACTTCTCAGTTTCGATTTTTCAGTTCTTCATTTCTGCAACTTTTCGATTTTTCAGGTTTTTGATTTTTCAATTTTTCGATTTTTTAAGTTTGTGAATTTTCGGCTTTGCTTTTTTGACTTTTCGGTTTCTCAATTTTTCAGCTTTTTAATTTTCCAATTTTTCGATATTTCGTTAAATTTTGTGATTTCTCAGTTCAATTTTTCAATTTTTCGATATTTCAGTTTTGGAATTTTTTAGTATTTCGAGTTTTCGATTTTTTAAGCTCTGGATTTTCAATTTTTAGTTTTAAAAATTTTTCGATTTTTCGATTTTTCAGTTCAATATTTTTTAATTTTTCGTTGTTTTAAATTTTAGATTTTTCGATTTTTCAGTTCACCATTTTTTAATTTTTCAAGTTTTTACGTTTCTGAATTTTCAGTTTTCCGATTTCTCAATTAATTAATCTATTTTTTTTGTTTTCCGATTTCGCGACCTCCCAAAGTTTCGATTTTTCAGTTCTTCATTTCTTCAATTTTCAATTTTTAAGTTTGTGATTTTTCGACTTTGCTTTTTGGACTTTTCGATTTCTCAATTTTTCAGTTGTTTAATTTTACAGTTTTTGGATATTTCGTTCAATTTAGTGATTTTTCAGTTCAATTTTTCAATTTTTCGACTGTTTTATACTTCGATTTCTCAATTTTTCAACTTTTGGATATTTTAGCTTTTTTATTTTTAAAATTGTAGGTGTTTCGATTTCCCGAGTTTTCAGTTCTTCTATACTTCAATTTTTCAGTTTTCGGAATTTTTAAATTTTCGATTTTCCAATTCATTTTTAAAATTTTCGATTTTCCAATTTTTTAGAAAATTTAAAAATCCGGAAAATTGAAAAATTAAATCATAGAAGAACTGAAAATTCGAGAAATCGAAAAATCTACAATTTTAAACATTGAAAAATAAAAGTATCGAAAAGTTGAAAAACTGAGAAATCGAAATATAAAGCAGTCGAAAAATTGAAAAATCTAAAGTTTAGAAATTGAAAACTGAAAATCCAAAAATAAAAAATCAAAAAATCGAAAAATCAAAATGTCGAAGAATCGAAATATTGAAAAATCTCAAAACTGAAAGAAATATCCAAAAATTGAGGAATTAAAAAACTGCAAAATTGAGAAATCGAAAAACCAAAAAAAGCAAAGTCGAAAAATCGAAAAATCAAAAATAAATTAATTGAGAAATCGGAAAACTGAAAATTTTGTAACGTCAAAAATTGAAAAATTGAAAAATAGAAATACTGAAGAACTGAAAAATCAAAAAACCGAGAAATCGAAAAATCTAAAATTTAAAATATTGAGCAATTAAAGTACTGCAAAATTGAAAATACGAAAAATCCAAACATCAAAAAATCAAAAAATAAAAATTCGAAAATCAAAAATTAAAAAATCGAAAAACTGAAAAATCGACGAGTTGAGAAATCGAAACTCCAGAATTGAAAAAAGTTGAAAAATTAAAAAATAGGGTAACTGAAACATCGAGACATCGAAAAATTGCAAAATCGAAAAATTGAAAAGCCCAAAAGTAAAAAATCGAAAAACCGTGAAATCCAAAAATTGAAACATCGAAAAATTCAAAAACTGAGAAATCGAAAAATCAGAGGAACGAGAAATTGAGGAGTCGAAAGCCGAGAAGAAAAGTTAAAAATTGAAAAACTGTTGAATCGGGAAATTGAACAATCAAAACATCGAAACATCTGAAAGAAATCAAAAAATTGAAAAATCGAAAAACTGAAAAATCTAAACTTTGAAAAACGAAAAATCCAGAAGTCGAAAAATTAAAAAGTCGATTAATCGAAATATCGAAAAATCCCAAAACTGAAAGAAATATCCAAAAATTGAGAAATTAAAAAACTGCAAAATTGAGATATCGAAAAACCAAAAAAAGTAAAGTCGAAAAATCGAAAAGTCGAAGAATTGAAGAACTGAAAAATCGAAACTTTGTGAAGTTAAGAAATGGGAAAATCAAAAATAGATTAATGGAGAAATCGGGAAACTGAAAATTTAGCAACGTCAAAAATTGAAAAGTTGAAAAATAGAAATACTGAAGAACTCAAAAATCAAAAAATCAAAAATTTTTCAAAATTGAAAATTCTAGAAATCCAAACATCGAAAAATCAACAAATAAAAATTCGAAAATCTAAAATTTAAAAATCGAAAAACTGAAAAATCGACAAATGGAGAGATCGAAACCCCAGCATTTAAAAAATTGAAAAATTGAAAAATAGGATAACTGGAAAATCGAAACATCGACAAATTGGAAAATCGAAAAATTGGAAACTCCAAAAGTAAAAAATGGAAAAACCGTGAAATCGAAAAGTTTAAAAACTGAGAAATCGAAAAATCAGAGGATCGAGAAATTGAGGAGTCGAAAGAAAAAAAGAAAAGTTAAAAATTGAAAAACTGATGAATCGGGAAATTAAACAATCAAAACATCGAAACATCTGAAAGAAATAAAAAAAATTGGAAAATCGAAAATTTAAAAATTCGGAAAATTGAAAAATTGAGAAATCGAAATATAAAACAGTCGAAAAACTGAAAAATATAAAGTTTACAAAAAACGAACAATCCAGGAGTCGAAAAATCAAAAAGTCGAATCGAAATAGCGAAAAATCCCAAAACTGAAAGAAACATCTAAAAATTGAGAAAGAGAAATCAAAAGACCAAAAAAAGCAAAGTCGAAAAATCGAAAAATCGAAGAATTGAAGAACTGAAAAATCGAAACTTTGTGAAGTCAAGAAATGGGAAAATCAAAAATAGATTAATGGAGTGAAAAGTTGAAAAATAGAAATACGGAAAAATCAAAAAATCTAAAATTTTTCAAAATTGAAAATTCTAGAAATCCCAACATCAAAAAATCAACAAATAAAAATTCGAAAATCTAAAATTTAAAAATCGAAAAACTGAAAAATCGACAAATCGAGAAATCGAAACCCAAGAATTTAAAAAATTGAAAAATTGAAAAATAGGATAATTGGAAAATCGAAACATCGAAAAATTGGAAAATCGAGAAATTTTAAGAAAGGAAAATTGGAAAATCAAAAATTAAAAAATTTGGAACTTTGAAAAATTTAAATAAAGAAGAACTGAAAACTCGAGAAATCGAAAAACTTGGAATGTTAAAAAATTGAAAAATTGAGAAATCGAAGCATAACAGCGCGAAGTCGAAAAATCCCAAGCTGAAATATCGAAAAATTGAAAAATCAAAAATCTGAAAAATCGAAAAATTCAAGAATTAAAAAAAACGAAACTTTGGGAAGTCGGAAAATGGGACAATAAAAAAAATTCTTCATAAAACGGAAAACTGAAAATTTAGAAATGTCAAAATTTGAAAAATTGAAAAATCGTAATATTTAAAAATCGTAAAATTTGAAGACTGAAAAAATTGAAAAAACCTAAAATTGAATTATTTCCAAATTTTCATATAATATCATCAGATTTCAGAATTCAGAATTCGGGAACCAAATTTTCACTTGAAATCTCAAAATTGTGACTTTCTAACCCGAAATTTCGATTCTGAATGTGACGTTTCAATTCGAAATTTCGACCTAATATCTCTAAATTTGATATCGTATTTAATTAAAGTGAAATTTCTTCTTAAATTTCTGCGTTTCACCTTGAAAGCTTGAACCGTCTGCAAATTGCGACTCTTTATTTCGGAGCTTGGAGTGATTAATTCGAAATTTCAACTTAATTAACTCGGAATTTGGCTTATTATTCATTTCGAAATTTCGAATTACGTTTTCGAAATGTCAAGTCACCGACTGAGCGGATTATTTACGACTTATTGTAGTAACGACTCCGAGGCTTAAGCAGACGATTTTTGTTCGAAACGACATTTTTCCAAAACACACTTAACACCTCAGGACTCGTTGTTTCTCTGGGCGGAACCATCGGAAATTCCAGCACGCATTCCTTCCTAATGCAGCCCATTTTAATCGAAATTTCGCAACACCCAATTGCTAAAGTAAATAAATTGTACGTATGACATTTTCTAACAAAAAGAAGGCCGAATATAAATTGAGATAGGAATCCGATTCTTTTCACCTTCTCTAGAAATGCGCTAGAAATGTTAGCGTCGTCACGAATATCATCTCCGGGTACTTAGACTTTAATTTAATTCACGAACATCGAGCGCACATTCCTGGGTTTTGCAGGAGCAGTACCACGAAAATAGCAACCTTTAGAACTAGTGAGTACTAGAAGAGATTGTGCGCACCACCGGGCTTTCGGCGAAAGATCTCGCCGCTTCTTCGCGTCCTTGACATTCCCATCCCGACCCATCGCGACCCATCCCCGGCCCATCAGCCGTGAATCGAACGCACCTGCAATGCCACCCACATGCCTCAGAAACTGTCTCAGGGTAACAAATTACGTTGGTATTGCACAAGTGATATCCCCTTCTCTCATCCTCTCATCCGATCGGTTCGCAATTGCAGCCCAGCTATTCACTTCTGAACTATGTATGTTGTGAGAATCAGATTATTATGTTCCCGTTGATATGAGTTTCATCACCTTCTCGCTCAATTTGGTAAGCTTTTCCGCTTTTTTGCGCTATTGTATTCTCCGGCTTCCTTTTGCGACACCCTTCGACTTCCTGCCGACCCAAATCCTGCGGCCTTGAGCTTCGCGCTTCGAGCTTTCGTTCGTCTTTGTGCTTCGTGGAAGCGTCCCCGAGTTTCACAAGGCGATGTTTAGTGCCATTTTAGGAGCAATTAGGAGCGCGGTTTATTGATTAATTGTTTCGTAAACGGGGCCTCATGGCCAGGTAAAAGTACGACAATTTAATAATTACGGGATGCTTTTGATCACGAAAAAATTGCGATTTTGGTTATTTCGATTAATTAGTGGTTTCGCCATCACGTCGATTTGTGGTCGTGAGTGAATCAGTGCGTGTTATGGGGTTATTAATGACGAGTGTGAGGTATTAATTTGGGTTTGACATCTTGCAAGATCGGCTATTTCGCAAGAGTAATTGCACAGGTGGCGCGGACACGTTGGGATTACCTTTTTGGAGCGACCCGGAAGGCTCTTTTTAAACATTATAATTGCTAATAATTTGTATTTTTATGGTTTACATTGAGGCTAACGTGATTAATGAGGATTTATGGTAATTTTGCTGAAATTTGCGGTCTGGTTTAACGGGTTTTAAATTCTTGAGGTTTTCGAAAAAAGGCGGATGCGTGACACGAACTGTCACGTTAGCGCGGCGATGGAATTTTCTGAATGGACCAGGGAGACACACAAAGACTGAAACGTTATATCAGCTAAGTCACCAAACCTGAAACGTAATAAGACACACTAGATGAGAGAAAGAACACATTTTTTGCTATTGTTACTATTTACATAATGTAAACAAAATACCTGTTTTAATTTTTTCGTAACGAAATACCGGAAGACGTTAAAACTTTATGTTGTGAGTCAGTTTTTGAAAGGCAATAAGCGTGGTTCAAGTTTTATTAAAATGTCGAAACGTTGTACTGCATCATAAGGTTTTAAAAACGCATTTTTTTGATAAGTTACCTTAATTTTCTTGAATTTTTTAACAACACAAATGTTTATAAAAAATCGCTCTGAAAATCAACTCACTAAATCACGAAAGCTTGAAAAACGATTAAAAAATTGAAACGTTTTTTTAAAATTCAGCTTGAAAATGAAATTTTTTAAACATCTCCAAATTTCGGAATACGGTCAACAAATTCTTACAGGTGATCCTCAAAAATATGGGATATAAATAAGTCTTGATAAGCTGACTTGAAAACGAAGCCGAAAATAACTTGCATAAGCCGAAATTTACAAGAAAATTATTTCGGTAATTTTTTAAAAGTGCTCGAAAAACGGGCAAAAAATTCAAACGAGGAAAATCGAGATTATTGAAAAGTTACCTAAAAATCGTCAAAAAATTGTGGAAAATAGATCTTGACGAGCTGTTCGAAAAATTCTATTTCAAAATTATTTTTTCCTATATACGACTATTTAAGAAATGGACAGAATATTGAAAATTTTGATTTTTTTTAATTTGCCTAAAAACCCCCAAAAAATTGCGGAAGTATATTTTGAGGAGTCGATTTGACAAGACATGTTAACGGTTCATCAAAATTGAGATGGGGTGGGTGGGCGGTGTTTCTATATGTTATATTTTTCGCTTAATATACATAGCATTCTTTGAACGACACGATAGTCAAAAACATTTTTAATTTCTTACAAAAAAATAAGTATTTTGTTGTTAAGCTCCGCCCTCCTGGTTCACGACGAATAAAAAAAATCATCACAATCGCGATAGGGCGGGTGGGCGGGCATTTTTGTTTTAATATGTGTAGACTTCCTTTTATAACATGGAACTTAAATCATATTTAAAATGGAAAATTAGGCTCGGCCCGATAATTGCAAAATCCATATTTTCTTGCAAAAACTTGTATGTTAAGAAAAAAAAGGCAAACTATAAGCCCCGCCCACCCACCCTGTCTCAATTCTGATGATTTTGTTTTTATTCGTCGTAAGCCAGGGGCGGAACTTAATTGCAAAATCCTTATTTTTCTATGAGAAATTAAAAACATGTTTTTGAGTGTCGTGTTATTCAAAAAATACTACGTATATTAAGAAGAAATTAAAGCCAAAGCCACCCCTACCTGACCTGATCTAAATAGTAATGAAGTTTTCATTCGTTGATAGACCTAGGGGCGGAGCCTAATTGCAAAATCCATATTTCCCTAAAAAAAATTACCATTTTAAATGTGTTTTAAGTTTCTAAGAATAAAAAAATCATCACAATTGACATGGGCTGGGTGGGCGGAGTTTATATTTTTTCTTTTTTTCTTAAGATACATTGTATTCTTTGAACACCACAAAACTCGAAAACATGTTTTTAATTTCTTGTAAAGAAATAAGTATTTTGCAGTTAAGCTCCGCCCTCTTGGTTCACAGCGAATAAAAAAGTCATCACAATAGCGATAGGGTGGGCGGGCGGGCTTACATTTTGTCTTTATGTTTTAATATATGTAGACTTATTATCACAACATGTAACTTAAAACATATTTAAAATGGAAAATTTGTATAAGGAAACATCGATTTTGCAATTAGACTTCGGCCCATAATGGCAAAATCCATACTTCCTTGCAAAAATTTACCTTTTAATCATGTTCTAAGTTTCTTGTTGTGAAAAGATGGGGCGGGTGGGCGGGGTCTATATTTTTCCTTTTTCCTTTAAAATACACAGCATTTTTTGAACAACACGAGACTCGAAAACATGTTTTTAATTTCTTGTAAAGAAATAAGCATTTTGTAGTTAAGCTCCGCCCCCTTGATTCACGGCGAATAAAAAAATCATCTCCATCAAGATAGGGTGGGTGGCCGGGCTTACATTTTGCCTTTTTGCTTTAATATGTGTAGACTAAGAAAAACTGTATATTAAGAAAAACAGGCAGAATTTATGCCCCCCCCCCCCCCTGTCTCAAGTCTGATGATTTTGGTTTTATTCGTCGTAAGCCGAGGGGCGGAGCTTAATTGCAAAATTCTTATTTTTCTAGTAGGAATTAAAAAAACATGTTTGTGAGTATCGTGTTATTGAAAGAATACTAAGTATATTAAGAAAAAATTAAAGTCAAAGATTAAGCCCCACCCCTATCTGCCCTGATTTAAATAGTAATGAAGTTATCCTTAGTTGGCAGATCTAGGGTCGGAGCCTTGGTCCAAAATCCAAATTTTCTTACAAAAAAATTACCATCTTAAACGTGTTTTAAGTTTCTAAAACTAAAAAAAATGTTTACAATTGAGATGGGGTGGGTGGGCGGGGTCTATATTTTTTCTTTTTCTCTTAAAATGCATAGCATTTTTTGAACAACATGAGACTCAAATACATGTTTTTAATTTCTTCTAAAGAAATAAGTATTTTGTAGTTAAGCTCCGCCCTCTTGGTTCACGGCGAATAAAAAAATCATCCCAATCGAGGTAGGGTGGGTGGGCGGGCTTATATTTTGCCTTTTTGTTTTAATATGTGTAGACTTATTTTCACAACATGTAACTTAAACATATTAAAAATGGAAAATTTGTATAAGGAAACATCAATTTTGCAATTAGATTCCATCTCATAATTGCAAAATCCATGCTTCCTTGCAAAAATTTACCTTTTAATCATGTTTTAAGTTTCTTAGTATATATACATAGTATATTAAGAAAAACAGGCAAAATATATGCCCCCCCCCACCCACCCTGTCTCAAGTCTGATGATTTTGGTTTTATTCGTCGTAAGCCGAGGGGCGGAGCTTAATTGCAAAATTCTTATTTTTCTAGTAGGAATTAAAAAAACATGTTTTTGAGTATCGTCTTATTCAAAGAATACTAAGTATATTAAGAAAAAATTAAAGCCAAAGATTAAGCCCCACCCCTACGTGCCCTGATCTAAATAGTAATGAAGTTTTCATTCGTCGAGAGACCTAGGGGCGGAGCCTAATTGCAAAATCCATATTTCTTTACAAAAATTTACCATTTTAAACGTGTTTCAAGGATCTAAAAATAAAAAAAAAATCATCACAATTGAGATAGGGCGGGTGGGCGGGCTTACTTTTTGTCTGTTTGCTTTAGTATGTGTAGACTTCTTTTCACAACATGGAACTTAAAACATATTTAAAATGGAAAATTTGTATAAGGAAATATCATACTGCAATTAGGCTCCGCCTCAAAACTGCAACATCCATATTTCCTTGCAAAAATTTACCATTTTAAAGTTCAAAGTTTTTTTTTTGTGAAAAGATGGCTATGTATGTTAAGAAAAAAAGGGAAAAATATAAGCCCCGCCCACCCGCCCTATCTCAATTCTGATGATCTTTTTATTCGCCATAATACGCGGGGCGGAGCTTAATTGCAAAATCCTCATTTTTCTATGAGAAATTAAAAATATCTTTTTGAGTACCGTGTTGTTTAAAGAATACTATGTATATTAAGACAAAATTAAAGCCAAAGATTAAGTCCCACCCCTGCCTGCCCTGATCTAAATAGTAAAGAAGTTTTCATTCGTTCCCAGACATAGGGGTGGAGATTAATTACAAAATCCATATTTCCTTACAAAAATTTTCCATTTTAAACGTGCTTCAAGTTTCTAAGAATAAAAAAAATCATCACAATTGAGATGGGGTGGGTGGGTGTATTCTATAGTTTGCCCTTTTTTTCTTAAGATACACTATATTCTTTGAACACCACAATACTCAAAAACCTGTTCTTCATTTCTTGTAAAGAAATAAGTATTTTGTAGTTAAGCTCCGCCCTCCTGGTTCACGGCGAATAAAAAAAATCATCACAATCGAGATAGGGTGGGTGGGCGGGCTTACATTTTGACTTTTTGTTTTAACATGTGTAGACTTATTTTCACAACATGTAACTTAAAAGATATTTAAAATGGAAAATTTGTAACAGGAAACATCGATTTTGCTATTAGGCTGCACCCCATAATTGTAAAATCTATATTTTCTTGCAAAAACTTACCATTTAACCGTGTGCTAAGATTTTTGTTGTGAAAAGATGGCTATGTATGTTAAG